ATATGCAAGAGAAAAAATAACTGTACAAAGGTGCGGCCACGTCCGTTTTTAAGAAAAACTGTAGTTGAAAATACTTCGTTTTTGGATAGATGTGACTTTTCCTCCTCATTAAAATCTATACTTTTAAAGAAATTAAATGCTGAAGTATAAATCTGAATGTGTTATTATCTTATCTATACTTTTACAGAATTTATTGTTTAAATCTGTATCTGAATGTTATGAAAACCACATAAACTTTTCTTCGTAAAATTTATCAAGGGAAATTGCAAGGAAATCAATGACGCAATACATTAAAAACATGACGTCACAATAAGCCGGCACATGTTGAATAACCAAATTCTGACTTCAGTCTTCCATAATAAAATAATAAATAAAATAATAAATTTTCAATCAATATATACAGTGAAAAACAGTCAAACGACATGATTTTACATTTATACATGTACCTTATTAAATCGAGCGTCTCCTTCATACTGGACGTGATATTGAATTTATATTCAAGAAAAGATTTAGAGACAGGGCCGCCTCGTTATGCATACCGTACCCAGTTCTTTTGGTACATTAAATAATCTCAAACAACTTTCTGTAGTTTTATGAGTGAACTTAAGGAAGAAGACGAAATTAAATAAGATTAAGCTTGTGGCTCATCTTGAAAAATAAATGTTATACAATTAGAGACTTTTTAATCTCCAAGTTGATAAAGAACTTGTTTTCTCAAATTTTTTTTTATAAAAGAACCACAGATATTGTTACTTTTATTTCCTATAAGAGTATATTTTATACAATGCAGTACATTAGACAATTAGGGCCAACTCACAATAAAAACGTTCGACAACTCTAATTTTCAACGTCATTTTTTTTATTTTGTAGTATTATTTCACGTTTACCAGCATTTGAATTTATGTCTTATAATATACGGTTAAATCAATGTTTGGAATAAGAAAAAAAAATAGTGTAGGTTAGAGAAGAGGAAACCTTTACTACAATCCTTTGCTACACCACCCGATGTGTTGTTAATGAATACAAAGTCTACCATGCTGTGAGGACATGATTCCTAAAAATCCAACACATGCTTTATAAAGCGTTTTATGAGAAGATGGAATCATATTTCAGACTTCCGCCACGGAAACATGAATATGTTCATAGGTGCCCGTACAAGGATAAATTTCAGGGCTTGAATTGATACGAATAGGAATATCCCTTTCGTAAGATGCACGACTCGACGGATGTGAATGGTTCAATTGTTCGTTTCTCTGATTTGCAAGATTATATTGTTTCCTGTTGACTGTAGAAATTACCGCCAATAGGATGAAAACAATCAGGAAACCTGAAATCGTAGATACTCCAATCACCAGAAGGAAAGTTGAGTAGGCATCCTTGGTATCCTTTTGGTCTCCATATGATAAATTAGAAAAAATCTTATAAGTATAATAAATAAATTAAAATCAAAATTTACATTTTTTTTTTCAAAATCACGACACTAGCTAAGAAGAACTCTGAATTTTGATAACCAAAAACGAATACCTGATGTGCTGTTTCTTTTTCTGGCGAATGCACAGCCATTTCTTGGGTCACATAGTGAATGCTTGCATCCACATTCCTTTTGACATTCATGTCCAAAGTTGGGATACCTACAGGTCCTTGAGCAGTTTGTGCTGAAGAATCCTATAGGGCATGCTTCAAAGAAATAAATAATTTGTTAGAAATAACGTTATCTCCATTATCTTCTTAGAAATACAAAGACAATTTTAAACGATTTTCTTACTTTGTTTACTAGTATGTAGTTCTTGCTTACCGACACATTTATTATTAAAAGTGTCCCACATCTTATCGTCAATGCAGGGAGTCTTTGGATGTTTAAAACTACAATTGGTATCATAGCATTGAAGTTTGTATTAAAGTATGCATGTTTTAAAATTCATTGTAAAAATATAAATAATACCAGTTATCAGTGCCAGTGATTGTAAAGCTTTCTTTCGATGGAAAATTTCTATAATAGAGTTAATTCAAATTGGTAAAATTCTTTGCAAAAATGAAAATACAGATTGATGTGTGCATATGTGCAGAGAAGAATTACATTAAAAGTTGAAATTAAAGGTTTCTCAATTATTGAAATGTTCAAGTATTTTTTCAACAATATGACATTGAGGTAATTAACGTAAACTTCTTTTTTTCTAAAGTGAAGCTTTTCTCTGAAAGTTAAAGAAAGAAATGAGTATCAATAGTATTTGCACATTTTGGCGAGAACATTTTGACAGAGGGCTAATATTTTGAAGTCCCATTTAGCATAGAAACAAATTTATAAATAAACCAGCACGTATATTTTCTGAAATACTAGTTTTGCAAACACATATATTTTCTTAAGTTTTCTGCTCGGTACAATGACCCGTGCATATCTTTTTTAACTTTGAATAAAATTAAAAGTTTCTTTAAATCGATGACAATATTGTAACAGTGTTTTGGGGAATCCATTGATGAAGGTCTCAATATTAACATAAATCAATACTTACATCACTTTATTAGTTGATTCTGTTGCGAATACTGAGTTGTTCATGACATAAGTCAGTAGGAAAACGTACAGCATATTTTTTAAAAATAATTCTAGAAACATACTACTAATTCATACTGTAAAATATAGACAATATGTAAATATCCGTGTTCATTTATGTCTCATGCGTATTGTACCAGTAACCAAAAGTACTATGACACAATGGAGAGTACATAAAGCAGAGCTAGAGAAGACTGGGGTTTGTGTGCTTGTTACAGCACATCTGATATGGCTATCGTTGCATTAAATAATACAGAAAAGAAAACTAATGACAAATAGCTGAGCTTCGGTTCATTATAAAACTGCACCCACTAAGTGCTCTTAGACTACTTTTTGGAAATAAAAAAAATCCTCATAGGATAACATTCAAGCTAAATATTTAAAAAGATTAGAGCAAAAAGGAATCTCCAAGAACCTCAGATATAAGATCAAATGACACGGAGAGGTGAGACTACTGGCTTGTGTGTTCCTTATCTTCTGATTGGGAAAACAAAAACATTCATAGACATTCATAGACATCCTAAAGTATATTTGCTGATGAGGTCATTGTAACGACCATAAAGCTTGCGAGACTTTCAACGAGACTGTTGATTTTCCTTGTTTGATCGAAACATTTGTAAATAGAAAACTGAAGCGTTGAATTCATCAATTTTCATCAAGGCTTATTTTTAGTTGTCATACACGTCTGTATCTGGCAAATTATCTAAATATGGAAGATAAGTTTCAGACATTGTCCCAAGCGCATTGAGATATATACATCAAACATGTGAATGGAAGTAACTTTTGATAATTGTTGATAATACGCAGTCAATGTATAGAAATATTTTGTCTCCTAATGTTGAAGTTATTTAGTAAATTCTGCTTAATGTGAATAAAATAAATAGTTATCATTATACTTTAATTAGGGAAGATGACCTCATTAGTGTAACACCCTACTCCCCCCAGGGCTTTCTAATTAAAGCAATAATATAACATTAAGATATCAAACAACAAGTTAATAAAAATACATCTACAATGTCACAATGATAATCCTAATAAAATAGTAATAATAAACAAATATACAAAGATGACATATTAAGTAATATAGTATCACATTAGCAAGATTTTAAAACACTATGTCATTATACATTTACATGTATAAAAGATATAAATCACAGTAATAAAGTTCTGTTGATGAAGACATATTTTTCTACATTTTATTTAAGAATAACAGAGTTGGTTCACATCTTATATCTAGAGGTAAGCTGTTCCAAATATATGAACACCGGAATATTGTGGTGAATTTTCATACAATTTTGTTCGGTAATGCTTGTATTATTAAAACCGTTGTGTGTTTTTCTTTACATGTAAATGTCTACGAAGCACTATACGTTAACCATACAAAACATACAAGTTGGATAAAAAAAATATCCAACCGCAAATTATGATAGATCAATATTTATCACATGGAATACATTTGCAAAATATGACAGCAATAGCACTGACCAATTAAAAGTTATGACTAATATCAAAGTTTTTGTGAATACAGACGGGCAGAAAGAACGATGCTTTATGCCCACGAATTTCCAATTTTTAAAAAGGGCATACATTTCTTCACTCGTAGATTAGTGCAACGCATTATTTTAAGCATTTTAAATGTCATAAGTAGATATTTTTAGACATAGGTAATCGATCTTGAATGTCTTTACTTTCGGTTTATTACCGGAAACGTTCTGAGTCGTTCTTATAGTATATTTGTAAGTAAGTATATTCATAAGTATATTCGTAATGTAACATATTATGCATTTTATTTGAAGTTAATAAATACATTGGGGACCTTTTTAAATGAGGATTAGATATACACAGTTAATCTAAAAATCAATCTGATATATGGTTTATTTTTAGAATTCTTCGTATAGTAATTATTTAATAAATATTACATGTATATGTTCAATCCTTTCTATAGTAATTCAGTGGCCCTTTTTTTTAAAAAAATCTTACGACTATGACACAAAAAATTCTATTCTTTTACAAGTATCCAAGTTGTCTTAAGTCCTACAAGATTCTTACTTTTCTTTTCCATAAAGGTTACATTGCAAAAAATATTTTAGAAAAAAAATCAGATCAAGTGTCAAGTTTTTATCCTAGTCGTAAGATTTTTTGTGAAAACGGCCCCAGGGCAATATAGCAGTTCAGTTTGTTTCATAAATTCATAACAGAAAACGTGTTGAGTGTAAAAAATTGCCATTTATTTTCAAGTAATCCCTAAAAACAGTTACGAAAGAGATTAGCTGTCAGACATAGCAAAAGCAAGGAAAGTCTGGATAAATTTAAGATGTAATTCAATAAATGATTACAAATTAAACCGTGGACTCTCAGTCATAAAATTGTTATAACATAGAGATGTGGTAATATTCCTATAAAGAAGCACTCGAAAAGTATTAGAACTTATAAAATTATTTTATATGAGGGTGCAAAGATTCTCGATTTGGTCAATGGTATCATTCGAATCGAGGTATCGTTTTAGCTTAGCCGAGAGAGTCTCTTCAAATTAAGGTAATTCATCACAATACGATGCATGTTTATAAAAAATGAAGATTAAGTACATATACACATTTCATATTTTTTTTTTTAACATTTCACTATATATTTCGTTATCAAATTCTTACTAACATGCATTAAAAGGATAATATTAGAGCTAATTTTACCATCATTTTACCATCATCTCTGAGAGAAAGAGTTCAATACTTGTACAGAAATACTGCTGTAAAAGAGGGCGGAGAGGTGAGAGATGTTTTTCAATATTTTTTAGACAAGTTATATTATTCATTTTTTTAGATATCAACTTGTCCGAGAATGCAGAAAACAACCTTTCTTTTTATCGTCATATTTTGTCAGGTAAGTAGCTTAAAAAATTTTTTTTTACATGAAAGTAATATGTTGGTTATATTTTTTGACGTGCCTATTCCATTATTTAGGTATTAAAGACATGTTTTACGTGTACTGATCTACAAAGAACAATCACCTATGTTCCGGATTGCCCTCGTTCTGAAGCAGAGTGGAATGTAGCAGCTATACGTAAGAAATGTGACTCCGTCTGTCCCACATCAAGGTATCACTGTCTCATCACCAAGGAGATGAATGCTATCATAGAAGTCTGCGCTGTACCGATGTTCATGCAAGGTAATTAAGAATAGACTGTATATAAGACCAGTAATAAATTTCATCACCTGTTGTATGTTTAGCTGGAATCTAATATGAATCTAGAAAATTCAACCTGACATTCATTAAAACAAATTTTATTCTCATTGAAACAGTCAACAATATATGCTTTTGAAAAAGCTTTAAACCTCATCTAATTGGTTTTATCAATAAAAAAAAGACAGTGTTTTTTTCTCAGCTACTGTTACGGTAATATCATTTTTAAGCGGTTAGCTAGCTAACCGCTTTATGGCATGGGCCTCCAAAAACCGGAAACTTCCATAAGGCGCTACCTATCGACATCGCTTTATGGCACGTAACCTTATCCTTCTGCAACCAAAACCGGAAACTTCCACAAGGCGCTACCTATCGACAACGGTAACTTCAGCAAAGCACTTCCTATGATTTGTATACTGTTGGCGTAATACGCCCCCTGGTGAGAGATTGACAATAAGCTGTGTATGAAGAGTGGCTATTATAACGATTATATCGAATTCTTATTAGACTAGTATTTACCAATGCATTGACAATACTTAAAACACTAACTTCAAAGAACTGAGAATTTGGTCCTTATTACACGTACATCGTGCGATCGCGATTTATAGCAACTGTTAGTTTATTTTTGAAAGTTGAACGATACGGTTAATTATACAGCAGGTTGAAGGTTATTACAGACCGCAAAAACATCAGCAAATCTCTCGATCGAGTTTGATTTTCCTTGCCAAAGTATTAAGAAACACCATTTATTAAGTTAAGTAATACCTGAAAAACGCTTTTGTAAAAACACCGAATACATCTGTACGTTTTACACTTTTTGTAACGTTTTTATGGAAACAATAGGATTACCTTCACAATGAAACGTTTGTTTTCTTCTCTTTTCTTCTCTGTCTAATAAACAGATTATAAAAGCTCTGCTCCCAGGGGTAAATTCTCTACTCCGTCTTTGATAATTTATGACAAACGATCATAAGGGATCACTTACTTTTAGTTTTGAAAAAAATAATGGGGCACTTAAAGTAGTAAAATTAATTTTGAAAAAAAAGATGGATAAATATATATTAATTTTAATCGGCATTGTGATTCTCTTCTAAAAATCAACCGATATAAGAATAAGAAATGAAAAATCTTGGTAATTAGCAAAAATTTAAAATATATATACTTAATGCTTATTTATAAGTTTTGAAAATTTGATCAATTCCTAAGGAACGTATTATTAGCTGACAAAATACTTTTTAAATTTGAATTTGTCTAATTTGTCGATTATTATTTTGAGCGTTTAAGAAGAATTAAATTAAAATACAGGTGTTTAGAGGCACATTGATAGAAAAGAAATCAGTGTATATTGTTTAACCGACATATTGAAGAAAGTGACACTGATAACTTCTTAAGTTACACTGACTTTTAGTGTACATTTGAATTTTTTAAATACTAGTATTGATTGATTAGACAACTTTCCTTTTCACATGTTTTATTTGAGAACAATATTGCATGAAGAGTATATGGCAAATACACATTATATGTCCTTATCTAGACATATTGTGCAAGACTTCTTTTAAATGATTCTCATATACCATTTACTTTATTCGAACATTTACTTGTTTGAAAAGTCAATAAAGTACATTTTATAAAGCTTGATAATCTTGTTTACTCGCCAGTCTTCCCGTAGAAGTAGTAGTTCACAATATTACTAAACGGAAGTATTCAGTATCTGTATCAAAATACAGAATGATCAATGATCGATTTAAAATGAAAAGCTGACTCCTGAAAGTTCAAGAGATGGGATCCGTTGCCTAGAAGAAGTAAGCATCCCTCGTTGACAGGTTACACCCGCAGTGAGCCTACACATCTGGAGCTCTCTGATATCAATTCATTTACAAAGTCTCTGCTCAGCCATCCTTTTTTTCTCTGACTAGCCAGCTGTAGATCTACACTACTCCAAATCCATTAATCTAAAGAATTTAACTTGTCATTTTTTTAGTTGTTTGCTATAGTAAGCTTTACAATTACCTAATTTCAGATTCAATAGAGCATGAAAGACAATTAAATTTTCAACATCAACATAATTGTTTTCATCCAGAGAACGATTGGATGCCACCAAGAGAGAACTTTTCAAAATGCACTTCCTGTCTTTCAAACTGAAGAAATCTCATGTTTAAATTTTGAAACATGCATTTCAATCTAATCAAAATTTATTTAAATGTGCCAAATCCGCTACCGCTTCTCAAACATCTAACATCCCATTCGGGGTCAGTAGTATAAGGCGTCTGGATGGGCGGGTCAACTGAGTGCACTTTTGGGGCTGAGGGGGATAGGCGGGTCAACGGAGTGCAGCCCCTGTGAGGGATAGGTGGGTCAAGGGAGTGCAGTCCCTGTGGGGGATAGGCGGGTCAGGGGAGTGCAGATTAGGGGGTTCTAGGGATAGCTGGGTCAATTCAGTACATATGTTGCATCATCTTTTAGATCTATTGCATCATCTTTATATATCTATTGCATCATCTTTTTGATACTTGTTGCATCATCTTTTTAATACTTATTGCATCATCTTATTGATACCTGTTGCATCATCTTTATATACTTATTGCATCATCTGTAAGGTGTGCCGTGTGCAAAACATACCATAGACTTACCTATGCATTGTGACGTCATCCACTGTATAAATACGGCTTTTCTCCTACTTTCAGCTCATTCTACAGTCAGAGCCAGCTGCTATTGGGGTCATGGATTCTACTAGAGAAAAACAGTTACATGCTCAGCGATTATTAGAATGGAAAAAAAGGGAGAGCGAATTAGAACGAATTCTTGATTAAAATAAAGAGCGAGAATTAGAGCTTAGGAAAAGAAATGCGGTAAGATTACAGAGAAGAGCTCTACAAGAAAAACAACGACAACAACAACTACAACAACAACGACAACGACAACTACGGGAGAGAGAATCAAATCAAATTCTTGATGAAAATAAAGAGCGAGAATTAAAGCTTCGGAAAAGAAATGCCATACTATTACAGAGAAGAGCTCAACTAGAAAAACAACGACAGCAACAGCAAAGGACAAGGGCGCATGAGGGGTCAAAGTTACCTATTCATTCACCACCCAAACCCAAGGCCATATCCCAGTATTATCGAGTCAAAGTGAATGAAAGGGTGCGCTCTAGAAAATTTAAAGCTCAAGAGGATTTTTACACTGTGATTTTTAAGGAGTTTCCAGAGGAAGAAAACAGAGGATTTGTTCGGCGATTATTCAGAGACATGTTACAAACTTTCAAATCGAAAATGCAGTGTAATCCTAACGATTACCTCCGCCTGAACATACGCCACAAATCTCTGGAATCAGAGATTTGGTACGAGTTTACTCAATGTAAACATTTTAACGAGGACGTCATTTTAGACAAGATTGAAGCCGTGCAACAATCCAGAAAGGAGTTCAAACTGGGCGACGGGGGCATGGAATTCGATATGTTTCGGGTCAAGTATCCCGAGGGAAGTGGTGGCCAGAAAACCAAACATCTACAAGTGGATAAGGAAACTTTCAAGAAAAATAAACGAGCCATCGTTCGGATCGTCAATCCCCATGATGAATTTTGTTTAGCTAGAGCCATCGTCGTGACTCGATTACACAGTCAGAAACCCGAACATCCAGACCCCGAATGGGAAAAACAATGGCTTCGTATGCGGAAGGGAGATGTAAGAGCCAATGACCAGAAGAACCAAGCCATAGCCCTCATGGAACAGGCCGAGTGTGATATCACTCGAGCTTGTGGAGCCCTAGAGTGGCCGAAATTACAACAGGTGTTAGCTCCTCAGTATCGCCTGAAAATATTTCAGTTCAAGTCTACTTCGACTAAACTCACCTTAGAGCGCATCTTCAAAGGCTGGGGAGACGGAACTTGTTTGAACATATTGTTAGACGACCATCATTACGATGCCATCATATCCATGCCGGGAGTAACGGGGAACCCCTATTACTGTG